AGTAAAGCCATTTCCTACTAGGCAGAAATGAAGCAGGGACCTTGCCACACAGTGCATGTATGTTGTTGTTGCTGATTGCCGTCGAGTCAAACACAACTCATAGCGACCCTATGAGCAAAAGGCCTGAATATTATTCCATGATAAGCGGTGGCAAGTGTAAGAGCCAAAGCCTCAGGAACTCAGTTTCTGGAAAAGTGCAGCTACCCCCACCCAACCCGTTTGAGTAGTTCCTAGCAAACAACCCCCACCTGCAGTAAACCACACCCTGTTAGTCAACTGCCAAATCTTGCCTCCTTCTGCTGAAATAGGCTTCTACTTCCTTATAAGGGCATAAGGGTAACAAACTTCCCTATATTTGAAGTAACCAATCAGATTCAGACAAGTTTTCAAACTGCTTCCCTGCGCTATAGCTAACGAATTAAAAGCAAACTAGTACTCTAACTGTTGTACATAGCCAATCATAGAATGTATAGTTAGACAAAGAAGTAACAAAGGTATAAAAGGTAGAAGCTTGCGCCAGCTCTGGGCTCTTGGGTGGATACTACTGTGTCAGCACTTGGGAGCCCGGGTTCGAACTCGAAATAAACTTTAATTCAGCTAATTGGCTCGGTGGTCTTTTCTGGGGAGTCCGTTACAGCAAGCATCCCAGAATCCTCCGCATTGGTTCCAGCTTGAGGAGCTCCCTGCTAATGCAACAACAGAAGGTCTAAGGTCACAGACCCCTCAAGTTCCAAATAAAGAATAAACTGAGTCCCACTACTTAACTGATACTTCGTCTCTTCAACATTTGGTTTGTCCAAAACCACAAACCACCATGGCCTCTGCTTCGTGAACAGCTTAGTGACTGCAGCAGGCCCACTGGTCAGTGTGGCCCAATAAAGGTGATTTTTCTCTTTAATTAACTAGAGTCTCTAAGTCTAATTCTTTCTCTTTTGAAGACAAGAATCTAGACTGCAATATTAAGCATCATGGTTAGTTAGGAACTTGTTACCACATTTACTGTGAACTATTTACCTATAGTTTTTGTGTTTTGTTTTTTTTTTTGTGGGGGGGTATTCCCATAGGCTTCAGAGTTGGAATATGAAACTGTTGCTGTATTGTTATTCCATAACCAGGAAACCCCTCTCTGACCATAGCCAAGGCCACAGAAATGCCAGAATTAGGATACTTCAGCTTCATAGGAACTGCCTGAAGTGCTGGTCTAACTCATCCCTAGCTTGTCAGCCCTGGCTTAGACTTCAGACTAGGTTAGTTTCGGAACGCTGCACCTACTCATCCTTACAAGGACTGGGTGCTATCCTGACACACTTCTGCATTCTAGGAATGACTTCTTTCGAGGAAATCAGTATTGAATTATCAAGATGTTACCTTTCATTTCAGAATAAAACAGTATTTTATTTCCATTTGTGCCGCATTCCTCTTCAATCATATTGGTGATTGGGTTGTTTGTGTACTTACTAATTATGGAGAACATTACTAATTTAAAGTGTCCTTGCTTTTAGTGATGGCAGTTTGTAAAACTAAACAATTATTTTAGATATACACCAAGGAAAGATTTTATTATGTTGTATTATTTAGAAACATTGTACAAAAATTTGCTAATATGTCACAATCTGTTACATTAGACACAGAAAGATATTATGTTTCCCTTAGAAAATTAGACTGCATATATATACACTTGATACAAAGTCTTAAAACTGTATTGCATCACTTCTTTATCAAACAAATCAATGAACATTCCTGTAAATAGGCAGGGAGCATACTGAACAAATTACTGCCTGTTGTTGTTGTGTCGTTAAATGCTGTCGAGTTGCAGGCGACTCATAGCGACCCTATAAAGGAGAGTCCTCAACACTTGGGTGCCTTTCATCCTCTCTCCAGGTTCATAGGGTTTCCAGAGGCAAGCTATTATCAAAGTGGATGCCACTCCTCCTTCCAAAATTGCTGCCTACAGAGTTATATTAATAGTAGTAGGGCTACTACTCACTGCTTTGCCACAGCACGAGGCTGTGAATTCCAGATAGAGAGACAATATATGGACTCTTTCACATAGAGACAATTAGTATGTTTTAAACCAATACATTGTTAGTAATACTTGATATTTCTTGGCTTCTTGATTCAAAACTCCACTCATGTGATTATGAAGTTTGTATTGACTAATCTTTAAGCAATTAATAGAAGTACAACAAAACACATCCCCTTAACACTGGAAGTGAGATGACTTTGTTAGAAATACCCTGTTTTCTGAAGAAAAAAAAAATATTTTGTAAACCTAACACTCATAATTAATACAGAAATAAAGTGAAACGTATGTAAATGAAAGTTAATGTTAGAATTCCTAATGCCATCTTTCCTTGAGAAAAACAGAAATGTGGATATCTTAAAGAGCAAGGCCATATCAAGATTGGCAAGATGGGTGGGAAGGAAAGAGCTGAGAAATATATTAAAAATAGCTTATTTCCAAGTTAAAGTTTTTTTCTGGTTTTTGTTTTACATTTATTTTTAAAGGAAAAACTTGCAGTATTCCACTGTGAAGAGACAGATTCACTCCAAGTCGCAGGCTTTGAATTTTAGATTTGGGTTTGGTTTTAAATAACATTGACCAAGTACCTACTGAGTACTCTGACAATGTACTCACTGCTGTCCTAAGTGATCTTCCTTTGCTGTTATTTCTGCCATTGCATTACACGGAGTAGCAACATCTATTCATTTTTATAAAGCAGCATTATTATTTTAATGCATTTCATGTTGACTATATGAAGTTCATTAGAGCCTATTGAAGTTCATGAAGGGCGCTCTGGTGGACTGAGGGTCAGGAGCTTCGCTGCCACCATGAATGAAGTCCTGTGGTTTGAATCCACCAGCAGCTTGGCTGGAGAAAGATGGACAATCTTCCTTTATTGCCTCCAACTTGATGGTTCATAACAATAACAAAGTTAATATACAATTCTTTCTATTGCATTTTTTAAAATCTTCTTAAAAAGATAATGTAACATTAAAGATACATCCTATTCTATTTTACATGAGTCGTGAACACTTTCATTAGAGTGACTTAAGAATTGAGGTAATAATAATATAATAATATCCTTTCTGTGGAAAGAGTAGCAAAACGAAAAATTTTCAAAAACATAAAGCCTTGAAAATACCACTCTTTCTGACAGAAGTTTATGAAGCAAAATTTCTGCATAGCACAATGAGTCAAGTAACTTTAAAGTGCCACCTAGCGATGAAAACCAGAATTGCAGCTTAATTAAAATTGGCTGTTTTATTGTTTAAAAAATTAAAAAATATAAAGATATTAAAAAATTAAAAAATAATTCTATTATTTTAATTTTTAAAAACAATGATAGGAAACAATTATTCTCAGACAGTGAGATACCGAATTACACAAACAAACTGCATGCGATTTCTCAACCTTAATTGAATTTATTCCCCCTGACCCTGTTCCAGTGGCATTTCCTCTTGGTGCTAAAAAAGAAGGTACTGGCTCTTTTCACATTGACCTACATTATATTTTGTTTCAATTGATTCAGGGTTAATTGAGAAACTTGAAATTATGTCATGGATTAATTTACATACAATATAGTTACATTAATCCACACTTTCTATGGATTCTTTTCTACTTATCTATTGCTTTTTTTACAGCAGTACAAGCCAATTCATTCACGATATTATTTATGAATCATGGTGCCAGCCATCTACTCATACGATTTTGACAGAATCATGTGGCTTGAATAATTGATTCACACAACAGTCCAAGGATTTGACCACATGTCATCTTCAATATGGAATGTGAAAGATGGTTTTGTAAGAATCTTTGAAGAGAAAGGGGAATGACACAGATAATCAGCATCTTTGAATAGTCCTGCAGACAGAGAGCATGTCCAAGCATCTTTTCCTGCACAAGTTTGTATTTCTTTCTGAATTGTAAAGATTATCACTGTTGTGCACACCTGTGACCTATAACAAAACATCTGGGTTAAATGTCAAATATAGCAATAGTATAAAGACAGAAGAGGAAAAAAAAAGAATGTTACAACCAGAGAAAACAAGTAGAGGGGAGTTTTTGCAAGTATCCTAGATGTGAAAACTGACCTCTCCATAATATTCACTAGAAAAGAAATGATTGTCAAAAGAATAAAAGGGGAAACAGTAGCTTCATATTAAAACACTGGAGCTACAATGAACTTTGCTAAAAAATCCAAACAAACAAAAAGCAAACCCAAAAGTCTAAGTTAAAGTTAAAGTCTAACTTTAAGAATGTTGTATAAGCTTATTCCATTGAACTAGAAAATAAATAACTTATATAATTTTTATTGTTGCTATTATTATCTATCCTTCATCTTCAAATAATTCAAGCTTTAGAACTGGATTTTTTCCCCTCCCATAGCAGTAACTTAGTTAAGTAATTAAATAAAACTAACATTTATAAATAACCTATGGACATATACTGTGGATTCCCCGGCATAGTGACAGTCAGGCCACAGCTGAGATCAGAGTCCAGACAGGACTGAGCACCCTCTGCAAACAGAGAATTCTGCCCAGCCTCCCACCAGAGGGGATGCCGTGTCTGAACTTTGGTCTTAGTTTAAAGATTAAGCTTACCCATTGTTGTGTTGGGAACACTTAAATTTAAGGAAAATATAATCTCCGGAGATTAAACTTTTTTTAGGATGATTGGCTGAAACTAAATAAAAACCATAGGGAGACTAAGAAACGGGCCTCTTCAAAGTCCCACGCTGTGAGAGGACTTCTGCCTCAGCCTTCCCTCTTTTTCAGAATTCATTTCCTCGTGTTTCGCTTTCTTTCTGTGTATGGTTTGCAATAATATATTACTCAAGTCATTTATGTGTTCAGCTGCCATAGATACTGAGATGTTCAGTGCAACAGAAAATCAGAGTTCTGACCCCTGAGAAAATCTACTACATAGCATTTCTGTTGATGACTGCTGCATTGGAGGTTTCCTACAGAGGAGTGGGAGGCTTCTTTCATTTCCAGCGTCACCAGTCCAGCTTCAAATCTGCTTTGCTCCATACATATTTTCCTCCTCGCTTTAAGAACATTTTCTCATCAAATCCACTGAATTTGATGGCTGCTTCTACTCCGACATCCAGGATGGACTTGGAAGGATCCTTCCGCCCTTTTCTGCAGTTCAGAAAGCGCATCTAGGAAAAGTTATGACAGACATTTGGTTATTTTGATATAATGAATCCAATTATCTCCACTTTAAAGTCTTAATCTGAAATTGTTTCTAGTGTTCGAATTGTTTTACCAAAATTCACTGAGAACTGTGGGATAAATACTTTCCTGAGGATACTAAGTTTCTTGGATACCATTTCCCTGATGAACCAATTCATACTCTAAGGAAAAGTTATTGCTGTTATGTCAGAACCAATTCATACTGACCTATCAGCAGGCTTTCAGAAACTGTAAATTGCATGGGAGGAGATTGCCTGTCTTTCTTCCTTTGAGCAGTTGGTGGATTCAAACCACTTGAACTTGGGTTAGCTGTGCAGCTCCTTACACACTAGGCCAGGAGAGTCTCATCAATAAGAGCAAACATAAACTCATCAAATCAGTTAAGTGCATGTTAAACATGCATGAGTTACAAAGAGCATGCATGCCCTATGTGAGGAAGGTGATAATCAGCAGAAGATTCCTTAAAAGTTGACATCTGCATTATATATTGACATTTCCAAGTAAGAAAGAACAACACATATATTGAAAAAAAAAAAACAAACCCACAACAGAAACCTGGAATAAGCATGATTTGTTTGGGAAATTGTAGATAAGATGCTATTGCTAAAATACAAGAAATCTTCCTTTGAAAGAAGAAATCAAGGTTAAGCAAGAAGCTGGCAAGAAAAGGAGGGCAACAGGAGTCTGTATTTTGTGAAGAAACCAATATTTTGCGAAGAAGTGCTGTGTGAAGGGGGCTACAGCCTGTGGGAGAGGCCGGAAGTACTTTCAGTTCCCACCCAAACTAGCAGGAACGACTGACTGAAATACCAACCATGTGTTACAACATCAAATCATGAAACGATGCCTCAAAATAATTGTCTAGCAGCTTTTACTCAGGAAGGGAAATAGTTTACGGGATCTGTTAGTATGTATCTGTCACAATAACAACAATATATATTGCAATAAGGAGAAATAGGCACAGCAGATTAACATTTCCTTCTAAAATGTACCATGTGCTTTCTTGTATAATAAATGTCAATAAAAAGAAATAGATCCTTAACATTTGCAAATAGAAAATCTTGGCTTTCTATAGTAGCAGCCGTGAGATGATGTCAAATCAATTGATATGTGATAGATATCTCTCTAAAAGTAATGAGACAGAAGAACTTCATGCCCAAAAGCGCTTAACAGAGGAGTCTGTGAGTCATGTTGGGTTCACTGTAATATCCATGGATTTATAGGCATATAAGGGAGCTCTTGTGGCTTAATGCTAAGGAATTATTCTGCCAAATGAAAGGTACACAGTTCTAATTCACCAGCTGGTCTATGGGAGAAAGATGGGCAATTTCCTTCCATGTAACTTATTGCCTCTGAAAACTCACTGGAGGGTCACCTATAGATTGGTTCTGACTCGATGGTCACACAATAAAAACAACAACAACATGGCCACACAAAAGACAATGGAGGTTAGGATACCAATAGTATCAGCATATACAGACACCCAGGTTCAAAAGAATTGTCAATGTTCATAGTTCACATATTATCCTATTGAATATAGTGTTTCATATAATTAATACTCATCATTGACAAAAACAAACAAAGAATACTTGTTAAGGACAAGCATGTTTTAGATGGTTTTACTCATTATTATTCAACTCTGCCATTGCTGTTTAATTATGTTTTAAATAGTCATTTTATAATTCATTAACAATACTCACATATTCATCCAGAATAAGGTAGGAATCTTTCATCTGTAAAGAAGAAATTATATACAAATTTAGTTACAAGGGCAATTTTGGCCATGTAAACTAAATTGTCCATTTTTAGCATTTATGGATTTTCACTTATTTATTTGTATAGTTTTATTATTTTGGGATTCAACATTTGTTTTGATATCTATTATTATATGCCTTGTAAGGTGCATTACCTGTCAGTCTGTCATCACCACCTAACAGATAATCTCCAAAGGTTCATGTCTCTCCAGTCATATTTTAACTAATTAGAGCTGGTCTGAACTCCTCCATGATGAAAGGATTCAATATGAGAATCTTAACTTTGACAGTTTCTGTGACTATGAAAAGGCTAGGTTCGTAATTTCCTTATTTCTCAGGCTGTCAGAGAGTTCCTTCCTTTATCATTCAATATTCATGAGGATTGTGTCTACCATATAGATAGATGTTCTTTTTTATTTATTAATTACTAGTGCTGTTGCTGTTTGCTCTTTTGAGTCACCCCTGAAGTATGCAAACCAAGCCAAGCTGAATGAAAGACTGCCCGGTTCTGTGTTAGCCATATGAGGAGCTGCAGAGCAGAGGAGCATTTTAATTCATTGAGATTGTTGTTATGTGCCGTTGAGCTACGACTCATGATGACCCCATGAACAATAGCTCTGAATCTTACCATAGCCTAAGCCAACATCTCCATCTTTGACAAACTTGACCTATGGTGCAATTCTATTCTTAACACAAGGGGTTGCCAAAAGTCAGGGGCTCTACTTACTGGTTCCTAACAGAAAGTACAACAGCAATAGCATTACTTGTAAGGAATTATGCCTTCTATAGGTATAGAGCAAGAGTAAGCAAACTTTTGGTAAAGAGTTAAATAGTAACTATTTTTAGCTTTACAATCTATAGAGTCAGGTCTTCACCGCCCCCCCCCCCAATTATTCATGTCTGCAGTTGTAGCCCAAAAGTTACCATAGACCACATGCAATAGAATGGGATAGCTGTAAAGTACAAAAACTTTACTAATGGACACTGAAAACTGCATCTCATAAATTTTATTTGGTTATAAAATATTTCTTCTTTGATAATTTTATAAATCATGCTTAGCTTTCAAATTGTGTAAAATAGGAAGGAGGGCAAATTTGTCTCTCAGTTCATAGTTTGCTGACACTTGTACACATTTATGCTGGTTGTTTTGTGCCCTTGGGTCAAAACAAACTCACAGCTAACTCTCAAGTGGGTTTTCAGAGGCTGTAAATCTCACAGGAGAGCCTTATCTTTTTTCTGCAGAGCAGCTGATGGATAGCAGAACTTCTTACCTGGGCAATCTCTTCCTATGGGATTAACTGCCTCTGATAACCTGCTGGAGGGTGAATGATGACTTGGTTCCTACTCGAAGGCACACAACAGTAAGAAGCCACCGGAACTCTCTAGCTATGCTGTTTAAAGGATGGGCTCTTAATAGAATCATCTGGGTATTTGTTAAAAAGGCAGACTCTCAGGCCCCACTTCTGACATGCTGAATCAAAATCGACATTTCAATATGATTTCCAGGTGATTTTCTTACTCTAAAAATTTAATTATATCAGCTGGTGGAAGGGCATTGGCTTTGGAGGGGTCATAAAATTCTGGTTTTGCTTTGTTAGTTGATGCTGCTTCTGATATAAGCCAGCTAACAGATAATAATAATGAAGATAATAAAACTTGGATCATAAAGTATTGGTGAAAATTAGGTGTGTAAAAAGACTAACAGTTCCAGATGTAGAGAAGTACTCAATAAATAATAATAATCCTTGTAATTTCTCGTATTTTCTTTGAATATGCATTAATCCACTTCTTAAACAACATGCCTCCAGAAACTCTGAACTTCAGTAAATGTCGATGGTTGTAGAGAACTTCAGGTCTTTTGTTCATAGGGTTGCTATGAGTTGAGCGTGACTCAAAGGCAATCAACAACAGTAATGTAAATTAGGTGATTCCTCATTACTAATATATAGTAAAGATTTAAAAAAACTCAATTAAAATGGTGTATAGATGGGATGATTTGCTCTTCTCTGCTTTTCTTAAAGATTACAATCTTCCATTCAAGAATTTTCATGTGCTGGTTGTACAAAACATTAACTTTTAAATTCCAACTATTTCTTTTTCCCCCTACTAGTTTATTTACAAAATTCAAATACAAATTTGAACAAATTCTTTCAATTTCCCGCATCCGCACCCGTGAAATTGTACAACCCAACGATTAATCCCCCCTTTCTCCTTTACATCCACATCCCTCTGCTCCTAGCCTTTCTTACCCCTCCTGGATCCTTGTACTCATTCTACAGTAACAGTTTTATACAATATACAACTGTTTTTATACAATATACAACT